TAAGCCAGGCACAAAAGGACAAATCCTGTATGGTTCCACTTCTATGAGGTCCCCAGAGTAATCAGATTTAAAGACACATACACAGTAGAGCTGTGGGTGCCAGGGGCTGGGGGAGGGGCTGTATTTTATGCTGCATGTATTTTACCATAATTTAAAAAAAATGTCAAGGGCAAATAGCCAAATGGTTCCCTGTCTTGTAGCTATAGCAGCCACTGGCTGTTAGTGACAAAGCCCTTGCCTTGCTGGACGGAGCTTGAGAGCTGAATCAAGAGGACAGGCAGCCCCCATAACGCCTAATCGGCTCTCCCGCCTGGAGTCACTTAGGAGTAGTCGGATTAGAGACAAGCCCGACATCTAATCTTCCAGCCTGGCCGGGGCCCCAGCTGGCAGCGAGGGTGGGAGACCCCAGGCTTGACAACACGGCCTGGCCTGGCTCAGGTCTGTGTTGCCTTGGACTGAGGGTCCCCTATTCTCTGAGCAGGCCGGCCCAGCTGGGGGCCAGGCGGTGAGCCCCCGTCTTTCTTTCCCCATCCCTGCTGCTGCTCTCACTCCCCTTCATCCACACTTTCGCCCACCCCCTCGTTCTTCATCTCCCTGTCTACACCCGTCCTCTTTCATCCACCCTGCTGCAAGAGGGTGGGACCCCGAGCAAGCTTCCACTGGGCCTGGGGAGCACACGTGCCCTCACAGGTGCTGGGTGACTTTCCAGGACAGTAATCTGCTTTAGGCTAAAATGGGACTTGATCTTCTGTTAGCCCTAATCATCAATTAGCACCCCACTGTGCGGAGAGGTGAGGTCCAGAGCTCACCGCCTTCCCGGCCCTCCCGCCTCCAGCACCTCCACTCCTTCCCCAGGACCTTGGGGCACATGCATGTCTGGCCCAGAGCGTCGGTGGGACTGTGCTGAGCTCAGTCATTAGCGTGATGCTGGGCAAGGGCACGCAGGGCAAGCAGAGGGCCAGCTCCAGGGCTCAAGCCAGGCTGGTGGCTTCCCTCAGATGCCCCACTCCTCCTCTGCTGGACCCCCCGCCTTAGATGACAAAAGGCTTCCAAACAATATGGCAGCCCTGGATGCCCCAGGCAGCTTCAAAGTGGGGGGTGTGGGGTGGCAGAATTGGCTATCTCCCTGTAGACAGAAAGGAAATGGGTAGAGAAGGAGGGATCGTCTTGTCCTAGGCACCCAGCCAGTCCATGGTGGTGTTGGGACAAGTTTGACCAGCCGTCCTGTGCTTGGAAGGGATCCGGTTGGACATGTGATTTCAGAGGAGGCCCACTTCTGGATCTCACATTCTTGGGTGGTCTGATTCTTTGACCCTGGTGGAAACAGGTAGATAAAGCTCTCTGGGACCCAGGAGAAGGAAGAACACGGACTTGGAAGTCGCAGTGACCTGGGGTTGAGTTCTAGGGATTTGACCTTGCTACATCAAGCTGCATTGTGACGCTTACGGCCTTAACGCACCTCAGACATCTTATGCGTGAAACAGGGACAACAACCACAGCTACCTTGCAGTGGGGACTGGGGGTACCAGACACAGTAACCTGGGACCTCACTCTGCAAACACAGGGCTCTCTCTCGGCAGGCCCTCTACAGTTGCAAAGACCCCAGACCCCAGAAGAGGGGCTGCCAGTAGGTGGGTGACGCCCTTATCATCAAGCACCCATTATGTACCTGCCCCGTGTCATCTACTGTGAGAGACTATGGTGTTCATGTGCAGGCGGGAAGTCAATTTAAGGGGTCCCAAGTGAAGTATAGCCGAAGTCTACAAAACCTCATGGCAGCCCCGGCTGCAGGGGGCTCTGGAGTAGGGTCTGCTGGGTCAGGGTTGTCAGGGAGGTCTTTCTGCAGCAGGGACCTGACCGGGCCCTAAAGAGCACTTAGTGTAAAGACAGTTCAGTGGCATTAAGTCTATTCACATTGTGCGAAACCGTCACCACCGTCCATCTCCAGAACTTTTTCACCTTCCCAAACTGAAGCTCTGGACTCCATGAAATACTGGCTCCCCTTTCCCCTCCCAGCCCCTGGCAATGACCACTGTACTTTCTGCTTATGAACTGGACTATTCCGGGTACCCCATGTGAGTTGAATCGTACAGTACTTGACCTTTTGTGACTAGCTTCTTTCCCTTAGCATAATGTGCTCGAGGTTCATCCACGTTACGGCACATCTCAGAACTTCCTTCTTTCTTTTTTTTTTTTCCTTTTTTTGTCTTTTTTACTGACCGGTAACGGGATCGCAACCCTCAGTGTCACGCCCGCACCGCTCTCAGCCAGTGAGCGGGAACCGGTCTCCACATGGGATCCGAAACCTCGGCGGAAGCGCCGCCACGCTCCCAAGCGGCGCACTCTCCAGTGCGCCACGGGGCTGGCCCTCATGTTTTCCTTTCTGATTGGGATGCTTTTTTTTCCTTTTCTTCTCCTTTTTTTTTTTTTCTTGTCTGATTGCTCTCACTGGTACTTCAGGTCCTGTGTTAAACATAAGAAGTGAGAGTGGGCATCCTTGCCTTGTATGAGATATTAGAAAAAAAAGCTTCAAGTTTTTCCCATTGATAATGATGTTAGCTGTTGGATTTTCATAAACAGCCTTTAATATCTTGAAGAAATTTCTTCTATACCTAAAGTGTTTAGTTTTTTTTAATCAAGAAAGAATGTTAAACTTTGTTAAATGGATTCTATTCATCTATTGACAGTATCCCTCTATTTTTTTCTTTTAATCTTTTGTTACTTCCTTCTTTCTTAAGACCGAATAATATTTCATTGTATGGATGGGCCACGTTTTGTTTATTTATTTGTCCATTGATGGACACTTGGGTGGCTTCCACCTTTCGGCTATTGTGAATAGTGCTTCTATGAATGTGGCTGTACAAATATCTCTTGGAGACGCTGCTTTCAAGTCTTTTGGGTACGTACCCAGAAGAGGAATTGCTGGATCTTATGGTAATTCTATGTTTAATTTTTTGAGGAGCTGCCAAACTTTTCCCCAGTGGCTGCACCATCACAATCTAATTTTAGAACATTTTTTTTCACCCACAAAGAATGCCCTATACCCATTAAGGAGTCGCTCCCCATTTCCCCTCCTCCCACATCCTGGAAACCATGTGCCTGCTCTCCGTCTCTATGGATTTACCTTTTCTGGACATTTCATATAAATGGAGTCACACAATATGTGATCTTCTGTGTCTGGCTTCTTTTACTGAGCGTGACATTTTTGAGATTCATCCACATCAAAGCATGCATCAGCACTTCATTCCTTATTACAGCCAAATAATATCCCATTGCTTGGACAGACCACGTTTTGTTTATTCATTCATCTGTTGATGGGTTGTTGGGCTGTTTCTGCCTTTCGGCTTATTGTGAGTAGTGTTGCTATGAATACTCATGTACATATTTTTGTGTGGACATGTTTTCCATTCTCTTGGGTAAACAGGAGTAGAAGTACTGGGTGCACCTTCTCTTGTCGTCAGTGGAAACACAGCTCACCAGGTGCCCTTGGGCAGCCAGTACAGCTTGCCAGGCTGCTGATGGGCCCCAGCAAGGCTGTGGCCAGGACTCTTTCCATCTATTGCACATAGAGCCCCTAGCCTGGCACCTGGCCTGTGGCAAGCAGTGATCGATGCTAGGAGCCATTCTGGCTATGGGTGATCAAGCCGGGCTCCATATACTCCAGCCTTCAGCTGGGCAGCCAGGGTCTTCCCTGCCTGAGGAGAGGCCACACTGCTGGGAGTCTCAGGTGTGCAGCTAGGAGGGCTGAAGGATCATGGCACCAAGAATGGGGACGTGAAGGCCACGAGACCATGTCTTGGCGTTACTGAGTTTAAGGGGTCGGCCCAAATGAGGTCTCTAAAGGCAATGGATTTGGGGACTGAGTAGAGGGGAGCTGGTGGAAGCCACAGGGAGGGGGCCTGTGGAAGGGGGAACAGGGGTCCTAGGTTAGAAACTGAGCTGAGGGGCCAGCCCGGTGGCACACTGCTATAGTGCACCGCTTGGGAAGCGCGGCGGCGCTCCCGCCGAGGGTTCGGATCCCACATACAGACCGGTTCCCACTCACTGGCTGAGCGAGGTGCGGGAGCAACGCCGAGGGTTGCGATCCCGTTGCCGGTCCCGGTCCGGTACGGGGGCGACACTGAGGGTTGTGATCCGTTGCCGGACACGGAAAAAGACAAAAAAAGGAAAAAAAAAAAAAGAAACTGAGCTGAGGCTACAGAATTGGGCATTAGCAGGTAATCAGTGCCCCTGCCAAGTGTGGAGCCAGCAGCAGCCAGACTGCTGTGGGCAAAGAGGGACAGAGGAGGCAGCCCATCTGGAACACTCTGTTGAGAGGAAGGCTGCAGTCCACGCAGCCCAAAGAAAGGTTGTGAACTCAGGGGAAGGGAGACTTGAACAGGCGGGATCTGAGCAGCCCGTGGGCACCTTCGGGTGTTGCACTGAGGCTGCTGGGAGGGCCTGGATGAACATGCTGTTGACCAAAGAAGCTGCAGCTCATGGGGAAGCTGAAAGCAAGGTGCACGGTGGAGTCTCCTGGTGGGCCACACGGTCAGAGCCCCCCACCCCGGATCAGAGCCCCCACCGGCCCAAATTGCATCTGTTCAAGCCCATTGAGATGGCCTGCCCTGCAGGAGGCTCCAGTTCCAGGCCTCGGCCCTGAAAAGTCTCCCAGAACTTTAGGAGAACCGGATGAGAAGGGCAGATTTGGGCTTCGGGCTGCTTCCCCACCACACCCCATCTGAAAATCCTGACCCTTGGGTCCATCTGACCTAAGAGCAGGAGCTGGACAGTAGAAGGGAACATGAGCAAGGGTCATGGCGGCTCCCACAGGCACCTCTGTGAGTCCAAGGGGGGGTCCGAGTTTGGTTCCCAGCAAATCCCTCTGAGCCGCCCTCGTGGGTTTGCCTTAGGGGCAGGGAAGCAGAGGGTGGGAGGAGGAGGTCTAAGCCCCGGGCCCAATTAAGAGATCAGATGGTGAAGGGTTTGGGAGCTTTTAAGGTGACGAGGCCCAGGCTGATCCCATAGGCTGGTATAAAGTGCCGTGACCCCCAGGCAGCACGCCAGGGTTGGTGGGCATCAGGGACAGGGACTTCTGCAGCTATGGCCCAGCGATGGGGCACCCAAAGGTTCGCAGGCGCACAGCCACAGGGCAGCTATGAGGACAGCACCCAGGCGAGCATCTTCATCTACACCAACGTCAACAGCACCAAAGGTGAGCGAGCAGGCGCTGCCCACCCCACCCGAGGGAGTCTCTCTTCTGCACATCGCCGCCAGCCGAGAAGGCCTTCCCCTTAGCTTCTAAGATGACGTGAATGGGGCAGGGTGGGTTCCTTTCCAAGTATAGAAGGGCACCATAATAGCCAATATGCATTTCCCAAGCACTTAGGCTTCCCGAGCCCTCTGAGAATCTGTGGCCCAGGAAGAGTTCATGAAGTCTCTCTGCGGCTCCCCTGACCACTGTTCATGCTGTCGGTGAGGCCCTGTTACATGACTCCGCTGGACCTATCTGGCCTGCACTACCCTGAGCTTCCTGAGCCAGGTCTGTCTTTGCATCTCCTGAAGCCAAAAGGAGGCAAACACCCAGAAGCCGGAGGGGTGGCCCGGAGCAGCGCTCCCACACCCAAGGGAGGCAGGAAGCTGGGGAAGACAGCAGCGGAGGGCGAGTGGCTTCTAGAAACAGGGTGGGAGGAGACTGCAGCGGTCGTCTCCCCCACCTCCACGCCTGGGCACACTGCAGGCTTCCGGGAAGGAGGGCTCACTCAGCACCTGAGCAGCCTTTTGGTTTGGAGCAGTCCTGGGAGAGAGCACTTAGGCTCAACAGAAAGCTGAAAGCTCCCCCCAGGGCAGCCCGTTCTGCCCTTGGGAGTTGCCCAGTCAAAAAGCTTTGCACGTGGGCCCCTCAAAGAGCTGAGAACGCTAGTGATCCCCCAGCCCCTGGCCCCTCTCCCCAGGTCTCTCCTCCAAACCAAAGACCTTCGGTGCCTTTAAGAACATCTTACAGGCTGTGGTTTCCAGAAGCCATACTGGCTCCTGAATTGCAACATCCCGCTGTGGGATGGCCAGGGCAAGTGCTGATTAGCTACAGAGTTCTTGGGCCGAACTGGCCGAGTGTCCTGCAGCTCACCTTGCGTGACTGCTTGTGCCGCAGAATTTCCTCGGTGGAGATGCAGCTCCGCTCTCCCTGGAGGCCCTCGGGCCTCACTGATGCATGAGATTCCTTTTCTCAAATGTTGTTGTTTTGTTTTGGTTTGGTTTGGTTTGGTTTGGTTTCTTTGCAAAACTTCGAGCATTTACCAAAGTAGAGAGAAGAGTGTAATGATTCCCAGCACCCGCTCCTCGGCTCCCAAGTGCATCGTCTTGTTCCATCTGTAACTCCTGCACTACGTCTGGGACACATCACCACGATTCCATCACCACACCTAATGTCACCCAAAATTCCCAGTCGGTGTTCAAAAAATTGCTCGACACAGGGCTCAAATAAGGCCCACATGCCCACATTGATGGATAGATCTTGATTCTCTTCAAATTTAAGTCCCCCCCATCTCCTTGCAGTTTATTTGTTGAAGAAAACAAGTCCTTGGCTCTCCCACACTTCAGACTTTGCTGATGGCCTCCCCGTGATGTGGCTTCACATGCTCCTCTGGCCTCATTCACTATCACTTGTTCTGTAAACTGGTAGTTGATCTGAAGGTCTGATGAGAGGCAGGTCGGACTCGTTGGTGTGTTTGGGTAAGACTGCTTTCTTATTAGGCAGGCGTCTCTTTTCCGGGTGTTAGCAGCTGCTGAAACTCAATGCACAGACCCATTCAACCATTGGAGATGCAAAACCATGGTGTTCTGACTCTTGCCTGGCCTTCATCTACTAGCTGGACCACTTTGATCAACAGAAACATGCCCTTGGTCCTGCTTTTGGGTCCCCAGGTGTACCGTGTGTATGAAAGATAGAGTAAATGCTTGAGTCTTGCATTTCTTTGTTTTCAAAATAATGACTCGGTTCATCAGTGAAGGCCAATAGGTTCTACTTCTGTGCCTCCTTCCCTCTCACTCGTGAATGAGAACTCGAATTGGAGTGTCATGTAATCACTCATTTGTTTTCTCTCTCTCTGTCCCCACTCCTCATTCCCTCCCTGCCCATATTTGTTTTTTTTTTTTCCTTTTTGTCTTTTTTACTGACTGGTAATGGGATTGCAACCCTCGGTGTTGCGCCCGCACCGCGCTCAGCCAGTGAGCGGGAACCGGTCTCCACATGGGATCCGAACCCTCGGGGGGAGCACCGCCGCACTCCCAAGCGGCGCACTCTCCAGTGCGCCACCGGGCTGGCCCCCCTGCCCATATTTCTTAGAATCACTTTGCCTGGGAGCCAACTTTGGTACCCTTCTCTTGCTTGTTTCTTCATGAAATCAGTTCTAGAACTTTCAGGAGGAAGGGTTAGGCTGGGTCACCTGCTCTGGTTGCACTTCTAGAGTCTCCTGTCCCCTCCCCACTGCCCGATGTGTACTCATTGGTTATCCAGGAAGGGCACTGACTGCCTCGTTTTGAGAGGTTGTTCCAGCCCCTGCACTTGCTGCAAACTGGAGTGTTCCAAGCACCTCCCAGTTTCACCTGCTCTCCTCAGATTAACTTGCTGTACTTTCCGGGGAAGCTCTGCTGGCAATGGGGGCTGTCCTCTCTCAGGTCCGTCAGCAGACCCACTGTTTCACTCTGCTCCCTTCTGCACAGAGATTGATACCGTGCAGGTCTTCAGTTGTCAATGGTCTGTCCCTACTGCTTATATTGGGAGCTCCTGGGGACCTGTGCCATCTATCGTGGCTGCAGATATTGTTAATGGGTGTCTGGGAGCTCCCCATGTTAGCAGGGGCATCACGGGGTGCAGTTGTGCTGGGGGTGAGATTTATCCATGCCTCCTAGCCATAGCCAAGAAATCCCCACTTTTCTTAAGCTAGGTTAAATTAGGTATTTGTAGCACACAACTAAGGAATCCTGATAAATCCGAGGACTCTCCATGGGTGCTTTACTAGACATAATGAGGCTTTATTATATGGCAGTGGAGACTATGGCTTGTAACCTCTTCAACTATTCTGCCAAAAGTGATGGTGGCAAAAAGGTCCTTCCACACAAAAGGGTGAGAGCCACTGTATTATAATAAAGATGCATTACGCTCGCCCCCACCCCCTTTTTTTTTGATCTTTTTAATCTTTCTTTTGGTGACTGGCTGCTACGGGGATCCCAACCCCTGACCTTGGTGTTACCAGCACTGTGCTCTAGACAACTGACCTAACTGGCCAGCCCCCTCCTTTTTATTCTGTATGAGTGTCCTAGACCTGCCATGACAAAGTACTGCCATCTGAGTGACTTAAACAACAGAAACGTATTTTTTCACAGTTCCGGAGGGCAGAAGTCTGAGATCAAGGTGTTAGCAGGGTTGGTTCCTACTGATGGCACTGAGGGAGAATCTGTTCCACGCCTCTCTCTAGCTTCTGATGGCTGCCAGCAATCTGTGGCCTTCCTTGGCTCGTGGAAGCATCACCCCAGTCTCTGACTTGGCATTCTCTGTGTGTGTTCAAATTTTCTCTTTTTGAAGGACTCCAGTCCTACTGGATCAGGGCCCACCCTAATGACCTCATTTTAACTTGACCACCTCTGTAAAGACCCTCTCTCCAAATACAGTCCCATTCTGAGGTACTGGGGGTTAGGACTTCAACATATGGATTTTGGGGTAACACAGCTCAACTCATAACATATTCATTCATTCATTCATTTACTCATTCACTCATCATACATTCTCTGAGCTGTTGTGTGTTACACACCATATGGGAAGAAGACAACACTTAACACTGGTGGCTCAGTCCAGGCTGCTACACGCAATTACCATAGACGGGGCGGCTTGGAAACAGAAGAAACTGCTTTCTCACAGTGCTGGAGGGCAGGGAGGGTTGGGGAGGCTCTGACGGGGTGGGGGGTTACAGGTGGGCGGCGCTGCTGCCAGCCCCTCTCTCTACTCTGTACCTCCTTCCTCCAGACCCCTTTGAAGGCCCCAATTACCACATTGCTCCCAGATGGGTGTACCACCTCACCAGCGTCTGGATGATCTTCGTGGTCATTGCGTCTGTCTTCACTAACGGGCTTGTGCTGGCGGCCACCATGAGGTTCAAGAAGCTGCGCCACCCTCTGAACTGGATCCTGGTGAACTTGGCGGTTGCGGACTTAGCAGAGACCATCATTGCCAGCACCATCAGCGTTGTGAACCAGATCTATGGCTACTTTGTGCTGGGCCACCCTCTGTGCGTCCTGGAGGGCTACACCGTCTCCCTGTGTGGTAAGCTGGTCAGGGCCTAGGCTTGGGGGAGACCCAGCCTGGTGCACGTGAAGAAAACACTCACGCAGCAAACCCCAAAGTGCGCCCATGGTGTGCGTGTGCGGGACACACACAGGAGGGGAGACGGGCTCACAGGAGAAGCTGAGCCAGGTCATCACAGGGCTGGGAGGAGGGGTTCTCAGGGTTCTGGAGGCTTCCATCTCAGTGCCCACTTTAAATTTGCCTCACTTGAGTCCAACACATCCTGAGTCCCATCTCTTGAGACAGGCTGTGCTCAGGAACAGCTGGTTTGGGGCTGTGGGACTGGGGTAGGAGGAGAGAGATATAGAGCCAGAGAATCCAAGAACAGCACGGGAGGGGAGGGCTCGGGGAACCGGGACGGAGCTCCCACACAAATCAGGGACACTCACCCTTGCAGCTCACCTGCATCAGCTCTTCCCAGAGAAAGGCAATTCCCAGTAGAGTTTTCGGGATATTGGAATCAGATCCCAGATCCCTTTCCCCATCCCCATCACGGATATTCCTCCCAGGTCAACAAACAGAGGCTGAGAAATAGCAGTGTGCCAGGCTCTGTGCTGATGTGGGAGCCTATGCCCAGATAGTGGCCACACAGTGCCATTATCAGTCCTCTTGGATGAGAAGGAGACTGGGGCGAGGTGGCCGAGGAGACACCAGGAGTAGTTGGTGGTCTGGGGGGCAGAGTACCGGTGAGCAGCGTGGTGGCCTTGGAAGTCATGCTCAGGAGCTGGACTTTACTTCAGGAGGGGGAGACTGGATATGGGACACCCACCCATGGGCCTCATTGCAACCCCACTCACTTTGCCTGGTGCCTGACACTGGAAAAAGCAGCTCCTGTTCTGGTCCCCTCTCCACTCTCCCAGTCTAACCGCCTCTCATAGTACAGACATGGCCCAGACCAGAGAGCGCACATGCCGAATCCCAGCACTCTCCCAGAACTATAGGAGGGGAGAGACTTGGGAAGATCCGGCAGAGAAAGTGCAAGTGCTCTCTGCAGCAGGCATGCGCCTCGGTGGTCACACGGCCCTTCTCCGGTGGCCCCCTGCGGCCCCACCCCTGTCTGTCTCTGTTAGCCTTTGCCTCTGTTCTGCTCTTGGGTTGCTGAGGTGCCGGACAGCCAGCACTTCCGCACAAGTTTTGCTGCCACAAACATCCTTGGCCCTCTGGGAAGCCTGTGGACCACATCTGAGATGAATGTTTGCAAGTGCATTAAATGAGATCCATGGGATTACAAAGGCAGCCAATAATATTGAAAAATATGTATCAAAGTATAGTGTTCTATTAAAAGTATTAGTATTAAAAGTAGTTATCAAAAGTATTAGTGACACCGTTTTGTACTAAAGTTTTAAGTAACAGGATCTGGCCTGACAACCACTGAGATTTCAAAGTAGTGATGAATATAAATGATATTTTGAAATGTCTGCCACCTCTGTAAAGTGATATGAAACATCTGTGACTTCTCTTGCTGACCAAACCATGGGTACTGCTAATATTGTCACGCTCATAGTGGAAAGAAATACCAAGTGTGCATTAGAGGTTAGTGGAAAGAAACATGTTTTCTCAATCCCAGGTCATGGATCCTTGAATTCTATGCACAGACCTTTGGGGGTCTATGCAGGACAGTGCAAAGCTGTCTCCACCCACTGAACAGTAGGGCTGTGGGAATCAGACTGGTGGACTAGAAAGAGGGCACAGGTTACTCGCCGCGTCTTGTTTCCTTGCTCTTGGCTGGGACAACAGCACCTCAGTGTGGCCATGCTGGTGCGGACATGACCATTGGGAGGATGGCATCAGAGGAAGGGCTGGTGGCCAAGAGGGCACAAGGACTAACAGGGCCCCTGTGGGCGAACAGGTGCAGGGCCGTCAGCCACCGTGGCTCTTCCTGGCTTCCTTTTTGGGTGTCGAGGTTGAGGAGAGAGCTCCGTGAGTTCTGACTTCCCAGTTTCAAGATTCCACGTCTGGGTCAGCAAGAAACTCAGCGGCCAAACTGAGCTTGGAGTGCCTGCTCCAGAGGGAAAGCAGTTGAGATTAAGAGGAAAGAAAGAAAGAAAGGGGGAGAGAGTAGGAAAACCAGGGGGTCGGGGGGAAGCGAGGCGGGGGAAGAGGCAGAATGCGACGGGGAAGGACAGTGGCAAGCAGGTGATACAGATGTGAATCAAAGAGCCGGCCACTGACCAAGACGCCCACGGTGCCCTAGACCGGAAGACACTTTCTGGAGAATTAGGTTTTATAGCTAGCTAGGTAGGAGGACATCTCTTGATCTTGAAAGCTGTTGGCTGGTCCAGGAAGGAAGAGATGATGACGGAGACCGTTCCTCCTTTGCCTCATCTGGCTGCTCTCCCCCATAGGGATCACAGGTCTCTGGTCCCTGGCCATCATTTCCTGGGAGAGGTGGCTAGTGGTCTGCAAGCCCTTTGGCAATGTGAGATTTGACGCCAAGCTGGCCATCGCGGGCATCGCCTTCTCCTGGATCTGGGCTGCTGTGTGGACGGCCCCACCCATCTTCGGTTGGAGCAGGTAAGGGTGCAAAGGTACCAGGAAGGTGGCTTGTTTTGGACTGAGCGGGAAGGGTCACACTTTGTGATCTCAGGGCAAATCACTCCTGTCTCTGGGCCTCTGTGGCCCCACGCAAATAGCAAGGGGATGGATGAGACTCTCCCCATGAACCTGGGAGTGTGCAATGTCTATAAATGTATAAATCTGTTTGGCTGCAACATAGAAATGGGCCTCAAGGCCCCCAAGCCCCTGGAACATCTGTTTCTCCCAAGCGTGAGCAGCTCATGGGAGCACACGGAGAAATGTCAATGAGCTGGGGCTGTGGTCGGGGCTGTTAAGCGAACAGGGGGCACGTTTGGGTCCAGGGCCCTCTCCCCCACTCTGCGCCGGGCATCTTTCTTGCACATTCTGGGGGTGGGGGCGCCCCTTTCAGAGGCCGCTTGGGTTGTAGTTACACATGGGCCCATAAGTCATCTGTGTCCTGGCCAGGCTGATTCTTTGGGGGAAGACCCAAATTTCCGAGTAAGTGACTCAGCTGCCTGGGAGGGACGGGGTAGGACAATGTACTTCACTATGTCACACGGCAAGCTCGTGAGTGAGTTCTCTGTGGTGCTTGGAGAGCGAATGCTCTTTCTTCAGGAAGCTTCCTTCATTCCGGGAGGCAAGCCGTGGGAGAGCTTGGCTTCATCTCCCGCCGCCTCACACCACTGTGCCCCCCATGGCTGCTGGTCACTGAGCACGTGCCATGTGCTGGCCCCAGCAGAGGCGCTCCCATGGTTACCTCATTTAATCCTCACGGCCACCCAGTGAGCAAGTCCCTTTACTAGTTGTGGCCTAGTTGACCTCAGAAAAAAGATTCAGGTATTCACAGGTGCTCTTAGAAGGTCAGAGCAAGAGGGAGCCTCACCCGCCCTTTGTAAAATGGGGATGCAGACGGGGGGACGAAAATGTTCTGGAACCAGAGACTGGCGATGGCTACACGACATTGTGAATGTACCAAATGTCATCATGGTAAAATTTATGTTATGCGTACTTTACCACAGTAAAAAATAAGAGGGGACACATGAGACCTAAAAAAGGACAAGGATTTACCAAAATCCCACCCAACGGGTTTCCGTTTGGGGTGATGAAAACGTCCTGGAAGTAGGTAGAGGTGGTGGTCGCACAACATGTGAATGTACGAAATGCCACTGAATTGTTCCCTTCAAAGTGGTTAATCTTATGTAATGTGAATTTCACCTCAATTTTAAAATGCCCTACCCAAGTCAGTGAGTGCCTGGGCTGGGGGGCCCCAGGTTGCCCACCCCAAATCAGGATGAGCTGTTGGCCCCTCTCTCCAGGTACTGGCCCCATGGCCTGAAGACTTCGTGCGGCCCAGATGTGTTCAGCGGCAGCTCGTACCCCGGGGTGCAGTCTTACATGTTGGTCCTCATGACCACGTGCTGCATCATTCCACTCAGCATCATTGTGCTCTGCTACCTGCAAGTGTGGCTGGCCATCCGAGCGGTAAGCCCCCATGCGCTCCTGGCTGGTAGGATGTCTAGGCTGCCTCCAAACTGCTCTGTCCCCAAACCAGTCCACCGAGACTCCTAAACTATTTTTTTAAATCCTCAGATAAGAGGATTTCACGTATGTAAGAAAATAGTAAGATCCAGCAATTCCTGTGGGAATGCACTCTGGGGTTCTTGCTACTAGCTGCAGTTTCAGGACAGGAAGGGACTGCCCACTCCTTCCTGGAGGAAGCAGCCCAGTGAGGGAGCAGAACTGCGCCTTTCCCCTGACCCAGGGCAGTTCTCCCTAGGGTGGGAAAGCCTGCGTCGCCCATGGAGTGCAGTGGAGCAGCCAGATCAGCAAACGAAACCTACAAATCAAGGGGTATTTTTAAAAAGCTGCCACCAGAGCACCCTTGTCCCTTCATGGGGCTATTGGGGCAGACCAAGGAGTGGACTTGAGTGTGCCATTTGTCCCCCAGACCAACTTTCCACCCTCCTGCGTCTGGCCCTCCGCACTGGGAAGCTGATCGTGTCCACAGCTGCCACCAGCACCCATAGGCTGGGCTACCACTTAGGGAGCCCCTGCGGGAAACCAGAGCAATGGAGAAGAGCAAGGTTGGGTCTGGGAGTGCTGAGAGCACCACCTCCCCTTGTGGCCCCCCACATACCACAACTTGTCCCTTGTTAGTCCACTCCCCTACAATTAACTTGATCTGGAAGTGCCATCTGTTAACTGTTGGGACCCTGCCTGGCACAAGCGGTAGAAGGCCCTGCAGGGTGCTGCCTTACCCATGTGAAGCTGCTGTACCCACGGTCAGATCAGCGTGACTCCCTGTCCCTGGGTCACCTGCCTCTCTCTGCCTCCCTGACTCACTGCCCAAGCAATAGCAACATGGAGTCCCTTCAGATCCAGAGCCTGGGTGACTCCTCCACTCATTGTCCCTATCTCCCCCAGGTGGCAAAGCAGCAGAAAGAGTCCGAGTCCACCCAGAAGGCTGAGAAGGAGGTGACGCGCATGGTGGTGGTGATGGTCCTCGCGTACTGCCTCTGCTGGGGGCCCTACACCTTTTTCGCATGCTTTGCTGCTGCCCACCCTGGCTACGCCTTCCACCCTCTGGTGGCCGCCCTGCCAGCCTACTTTGCCAAAAGTGCCACTATCTACAACCCCATTATCTATGTCTTCATGAACCGGCAGGTAAGCAAGGCCTTGGCAGATCAAACTGGAAATACACCTGGGAAGAATTCAGTGATGGCTCCGCCTGGAATCGTGTGTCTGACGAGGAGCCCACGCGGCATCTGGGGGAGTCTCAAAATGACCTTTGGGGAAAATGACCAGGAAAAGGCTCAGCGGTGACCCAGCCCCAACCAGATCTCCATCTGGCCATTAGCAGAAGGCTTAGGTACACCCTCGGGAATCCTGTTACAGTCTCAGCCTGAGCGTGGCATTTCCCACAGTGCCTGTTGGCCCTAGAACTATGGTCGGCAAGCTTCAGGGAATCTCCTGGAACCCAAACACTCTGGCATTTAGAGAGCACGTCTGCACTTACAGACTCGCTCTTCTCTCAGTCTTCATCTTTCCATTTCAAACCCTAGCTTCTGCAATTTGTTTTCCTATAAGAACAAAAACAGGCCCTTCTTGGCTGGGCTGACCAAGAATTCAGGAGCTTTCATAAGTTCGTGGCTTAGTTCGGGGGGGGAACACACCGTGGTCTTGCCCACCGTCTTGCCTGCAGCCATCGTTAGCTGGCACGTTGGGCTTCAGATGCCCATGACCCCTAGACCCTCGTGGTGGGTTTCAGGTGACCTCGCGAGCTTCATCATCTTCTGAGTGCAATTTGCCTTGCTCTTCCTTGAAGCCATCATTGAGTTGCAGCTGCAACGTGACTTGATGATGACCAGCAAGATCTGCTGGGGCCTCTCACTGCATCAAACCCAATCCATTCCTTCCGATGGACTCTTTCCTCCTCCACCTTACAGCCGCCCCGTGGCTCCATGCCCTTAGGCTTGGCCCTGACTCACACAAGCCAGGTGGCAGGTCGCAGAGCTCATTGTGTGCGTTCTTCCTGGGAACTTTTAAACAGTAAGTAGGACCCGTCCTGCAGTGGATTCCTGGGAACTCCACTGTTGGCATGTCAGGGCCCAGAGAGTGGAGTTTTATCCCTGACCTGTTTCTTGTCTTTTACAAAGATCTCTTTTCAGGTCTGGTTTTGGTTTGGGGAATCCTAAACTATCTCGCTAAGTACTGTTTTTACTTGATTCTTTCCATCCTCCATTCCAGAGGCCCCTCCTGGGCAGAGATCTGCACTTCCAGACCTTGTCAGGCTTTGAACTTCGCTTTCTCCCATTCCACATTGTTATCCTGTCCTGCTGCATTCCGAGAGGATTTTCAGGAATGAAAATAAATTATTTTTGAGAGTTTGGATGATAGAGGGAGGTGGGAGTATCAAGAACTGGCCCAAAATATTTAGGAAACACCTCGGGTCTGTGTTCTCAAAGCATTGTGGTTACTTCGGTGATGATATGAGACATAATCTGAGAAATTAATATGGCCCATATCTCTTTAGGGGTCTACCAGCAAAAAGCAGACCCCTCTTGATACCAGAAGCCTCTGTTGGACAAAGAGATGAGGCAGGTGGCTACACTGTCATTTCCCTAGTCCTCACCTTGCCCCCAAATTGATGGACTAGAAACAAGGTGACGATCACACTCCTTTTCACTAAAATGCCTTTGAGCCTCTTGCCAGACCTTCTGGAGACAGGTCACTGTATGCATGGGCTCCTTAGTTGGCATTGTGTTTGGTCACTGTATGAATATCCTGGGGATGCCATAACAAACTACCAGAAACTTGGCGGCTTAAAAAAACAGAAATTGATTCTCTCACAGTTCTGGAGGCCAGAAGTCTGAAATCAAGGTGCTGGCAAGGCTCGTTACTTTGGGAGGCTCTGGGGGAGAAAAGCCCCATGCCTTCCTCTTAGCTTCTGGGGTTTGCTGGCAATCCTTGGGATTCCTTGACTGGAAGACGTGTTACTCCAATATCTGCCTTCATCTTCACGTGGCCTTCTGCCCTCTGTGTCTGTGTCTCTGTGTCCAAATTTTTCTCTTCTTATAAGAACACCAGTCATTGGGTTAGAGCCCAAACTAATACAGTATGACCTCATCCTAACTACGTCTTAATCACATCTGCAAAGACCCTGTTTCCAAATAAGCACATATTCACAGGTTCTAGAGGTTAGGACTTGAACGTATCTTTTTTTGGGGGGGTGGGACACAATTCAACCCACAATCGTCACCATCAACTGCTAAATTAGATGACTTAGATGACCATCCCCATGTGCAGGGAATATCTGGAGCCTACCTCCCTCCCCCGAATGGGTTCTGGATGGGAGAGGGGAAGGTGTCCAGTCATCAAGGTGACAATAAATGCCCTAAGCCTTACCTTTAGCACAGCACACTGGCCCTGCCTGCTCTGCTGAATAACACTTTCTGTCCTTCCAGTTTCGAAACTGCATCTTGCAGCTTTTCGGGAAGAAGGTTGATGATGGCTCTGAACTCTCCAGCACGTCCAGGACAGAGGCCTCATCTGTCTCCTCGGTGTCACCTGCGTGAGGTCTGCCTCCTACCCTTCCCACCCACTGGAGCTTTGGCCACCCCACTCCCCTTCTTCTCCATCCCCATGAAATCAATGAAATTTCTCTTTGCCAAAACCAACCAAGTCATGGAGGCTGCCACCCCAGAGGCTGCCACTGCGGTTGGGGCCACCTGAGCCTCTGAGCATTCAGGTACTGGGTCTCGAGAGGGCGCGAGGGGTAGAAAGAAGAGAGCAGTGCTTCTTAGACTTTAATCTTTTCCAAGCCTCGTGGCTATAGATAGCATGGAAGGATTATGGTGAGATGGAAGTACGAGGCAGGTGGGCGTCCACATACGTCTCGCCCAGGCTGGTGCTTATGGAATCAGAAAGCAAGAGCTGCAAAGTGGCCGTGTGGGGAGGGCTCACCAGATGCCCTTGACACCCTGGAGGGAGGGAACTAGCAAACTCAGGCAGAAGGTCCATCTGATGGAGGCATGGAGTCCTTGGAATACAGTTTCCACGTGGAGGGGACCCACGCCTGCCAGTCTGTACTGGGGATGGTGTGCCACTTCTGCCAGGCCAGGGCCCCAAGGCCAACCAGCATGAGCACGGTGCCCACGCGCAGGCGGCAGTTGGCCAGCAGCAAGGGGCAGGTGCACACGGTGGAGACACAGATCAAGAGGAAGGTTGCCAGTGTGAGGAGCAGGCTCACAAATCTGAACAAAAACTCCCGGGCACGGCTTCTGAGGTTGTCCGTCATCTCCAGCTGGGTGGCTTGCTGTAAAGTTTCTAGCTTGGATATTCGGCTCTTGAAATTCTCCATGACCTCCTGCAGGGAACGAAAACACATGTGCTCACCAAAAGTCAGGGCAGAAGTACAGTCAGTTAATCGAGTTCCTAAGGGGTGCACAGCAAGTATCATTTAGTTGAATATTTTAGGAGGGAAGTGGAGAACTTAGGGCACCTACAGAGGCGACACAGACAGCTACCATGGAGGGCCCCGTCCTGGGAGGGCATATGTCTTCCAGTAATAGCAAAGGTTTCATCTGACTTGGCCACACTCCTTCATCCATTGTCTCCTGAGACTGAGGACCTGGTTGGGATGGAGCTGACCAAGGACAGGAGGAGGAGCTATGGGTCTGGAAGAGACTGAGAGAGAGAAGCCAGCCTTAAAGCAGAGGTTCTCAGAGGGTGCTCTGTGCAGCAGCAGCACCAGCAGAGCCAGCATCCCCTGGGGACTGTCAGGCCCCACCCCAGATATACTAGTCAGAGAGTCTGGGCTGGGGCCCAGCAGCTGCCTTGGAACAAGCCCTCCAGGTGGCTCTGATGCACCTGCAGTGCCAGAGTCCCCGATGCAGTTAAGCTGGATGACGGGAAGTGGAGCGTGAACGTAGATTGGATGCCGCTAGCCCTAAAATAAATGTGTGGCACTGTGCCGTCGAGAGGGGTACGGCCCGAGGATCTGGCTCTTGCTTTGGTTCGGGGGTATCAGAACAGATCCGTTCATCCCTACGTCCTTCTCACTGGCCGTTTCTAGAAAGTCCCCCCAGCCCCCACCCCGAGGTTCTCACCCATATTTCTTTGGTTGTCTCAAAGGACAGATAAGCCATTCTCTCTTCAATGCAGACCAGATTCTGTTTGAGGTGGTAAACCTCATTCAGGTGCCCCTGCATGTAGTCCTTCACCTGCTCTTCCAAGAGTGTTTGTCTCGGAAGCAAAAGAGAAAGTAACAGTCCCTCAGTACCTTGCCCAGAGCTTGTGTCGACAGCGGGCAGCCCTGAACCTACACTAGACTTGGGTCCCCATCCTGCCATCCTCCCTTCTCCCCAGGCTCTGGTCACAGCCTGCCTCCCCCTCCAGGTCTGCCAGGGAACACACGCGCACCGACGCTCCTGTACATTTTACACATAGTCACTCTTTTGTAACAGCTTTACGAAAACACATGTAGATGAGAAGTTGTAGAAATGAAAATCTAAATTATCTGCATATGTTATTACATTTCATGGATATCCCAGGACAGTGTTTAGCATGCAGAAGGTACTCCATAAAAACATGCTGATTATAGGGATTGAAGAGTCACAAAGACCACATGTTGTATGACTCCATTGATATGCAATGTCCGGAATAGGCCCATTCATAGAGGCAGAAGCACATGAGTGGGTACCAGGGGTGATGAAAATGTTACGGAATTAGATACTGGTGGTAGTTCAACAACTCTGTGAACATGCTGAAAACCACTGAGTCGCACACTTTAAATGGGTGAATTTAATGGAATGTGAATTATATCTCAATAAAGTTGTTATTTAAACAAAAAGAAAAAATTGGCTTGTGGTAATGGTTGCACAACTCAGTAAATTTAGGGAAAAATACATTGTAATGCAGTTAAAATGGTGCATTTTCTCATATCTAAATTATATCTCACCAGAGCTGTTAAAAAAAAACACACAAGCAAAGCCTCACTACCTGTTCTGTATGTAAATACGAGGATATAAGTAGTAAAGTATGAAAACATGCATGGAAAAGACAAGCCCCCAGGTGAGGGCAGTGAAGCCCCCGGTAGAGGCATGGGGCTGGCAAGGGTCGCGAGAGAGCTTCAGCTGAGTCTGCTGACATTTTACTTCCCAAAACAGTAATATTTGAAGCAAATATGGCTAAGGTTAAAATTAGAGAAAGCTGGGGCTGTTGGTTATGTTATTCTGTACATTTTCCCTGGGCTTGAAATATTTCATGATCTAAAAACTTTTCTGAAGTTCCTCATATAGACACCGTGAAGGATAGGCCGGGAGGACAAAGGCCGGACACCCAGAGAGTGGGTCCTGGCACTGTCATTTAGAGCGAAGCTGAGGAAGGCTTGACCCAAGCCGGCGGTAGTGACATTGGAGAAGAGAGAAGGCACCGGAGAGGGATGGAGCCCATAGCATGACGGGGCTGATGCCCTGTGAGGTCCGGGAGGGTGACCGCAGCCCCAGCATGTGCGGGCATGACCAGGGAAGACCTTGACTGACACCTCCATGGAGGACTCCACGAGGCTGCTAAGAAGCTGACTGCTCATTTGTTGAAAGCCAATTCATCAAAAGCCAGTTCCTAACAGCATTTCAAGGAATATTCCATGTGTCTCTGTCCCAGGTCCCTGTTGAGAAGACAGTCAGCTGACAACATGGCCTAGGCTACTGCTCAAAGACAGGGGCGTCAGCAGCAAGGTGTCCACCCGCAAACAGATTCCTCATTACAGTCTTTCTGTTTACATGGAAGATCTAGCCAGGAGAACAGTTAAGATAGTAACTATGCTCAAGCATATATTCATGAATATACTATTCATGAATATGAAGTCAATGGGCAGGTTCTTCACCAATATATTTATAAGAATACGTGAAATACTCTTGAATAGATTAGTGAATAAGAAGATGTTAATAAACAATATTTTCATAAGGATATTCTCTCAGTCTTCTCTCCTCTCTGTCCCCCAGTCTCCTTGCCCTATGACACTCACGTCCTGGCCGTGACACCACTAGACTCCGCCATCTGTCTTCCTTGGTCAAGGACTCCTCTCTGTGCAGCGCGTACAGTCGCAAAGGCAAATGGACCACTGAGGAAAATGCTCTTAGGAAGACAAAACCCCCCCCAAATGTTCCAAAGCTGTGAAGACCACCCCCCATACAAATTATCTTAAACTTTATCATTTGTTTCCAAAGAATATGTTCTTGATCACCTCTGAGAGTTGACTTTCAGCAAACTGAGCCAGAACCCAATGGCCTGCAGCGTGGAGAAGTCCAAGGTGGAGAAACGGGTGGGGGAGGGCCCGACAGCAGGGAGGCAGGCTAGCGCAGCAGGACGCGTGAGCTCACCTGGGCAGGTGTGCACAGTGAGGGGGGCAGGGCGGAGCCAGCGAAGCAGAAGTGAAAGTGCTGTGACATTCACCAGAGCGGTGGGGTCGCCTGGGAGCCAAGGTTAGGCGGTGTTGGAAGAAGGCAGGAGGATACACAGCATCAAATATAACTGGACCATGAAATAAAGTAAGGAGGGCAGAGACGACTGACTACTAAGAAGGAGGCCACTGAGGAGCCCGGGGCGAGCAATTCCAGTGAGTGGCAGGGGCGGAGGCGGGAGCGGGAGGCCACGGGGTGGGAGCGTTTGATGGAAACAGCTCTTCGGAAGTCTGATGGGGAAGTGAGGACTGTATTTATTTGTTGAAAGAAAGAATCCAATAAGGCACGCGGGATGGCAGATGCAAGAGAGACTGGACTCCTTAAGTCCCCAAGGAGACTGACGAGGTTGGAAGTGCAGTGTAGGTAGAGGCTGGAAGTCACCCCTGTGACCAAAGGAAAGAAACAAATACTCCCCCCGAGAAGTCAGAGCGATTGAAGGTAAGGACCATGGGTTCCAGGGAAGGACACGAGGCCGAGAGGAAACGGGACACTGTGGGAAAGTGGTTCAGAGGGCTGGTTCTGGGGTTGCCACCCTAGGTTTAAGATTTCCCTGTGGAACTTGCTTGGAGAAGTCCTTTAACCTGTTTGTGCTTCACGGAGGTTGAGAATAACACTAATACTCCTAACACTACTGACCCGTTCGGCGTGTTTTAGGTATTATTAAATGAGAGAGCACGTGTAGAGCACTGGCACACCGCCTGGCAGACAGAAACGCGTACCAACCGATAGCTGTTGGTGTTGGTGCTATTACACTCATGCGTCGCTTGATGACAGGGATAGGTTCTGAGAAATGCATCATTCGGCGATGTTGTCATTGTGCAGACAATGTGCAGACATCACGTCGTGCACTTACACAAACCTAGATGGTACTGCGCACTACACACCGAGGCTGCAGCGTATAGCCTGCTGCTCCTACGTGAGCAGTGTGTTGTGCTTCAACCTTAGGGTGGCAATAGGAATTTTCCAGCTCCACGACAATCGGATGGAACCACCGTCACATAGGCAGTCTGTCATCGACTAATGAAGGCTGAAGAGCAGATAAGATAGAAGGGAGAGAAGTAAGGACGAGAGCTGGGACTTGTGGCTGGAGAAGAGGAAGGCGGACTTGAAGATGTCAGAGATAAGGAATATCGTGGAGAAGAGGGCAGGTCTGTGGTGTAATCATGGAATGGGTGACTGAAATGGAGTGAAGGTCAAGGCCAGTGGGCCTCAGA